TCTTGAGAAAGAAGAATAAAGTTGAAAGAATGATTCCATATGGTATCAAACTATACTACAAAGCCATAGTAATCAACAGCATGGTACTGGCATAAAAACAAACATATAGCTCAATGGAACAGAATAGAGAGCCCAGAAATAAACCCACACCTTTATGGTCAATTAATATTTGACAAAGGAGGCAAGAACATACAATGGGTGAAAGAAAGTCTATTCAGTAAATGGTGCTGGGAAAAGTGGACAGATAAATGAAAAAAATGAAATTAAACCATCTTCTTACACCATACATGAGAATAAACTCAAAATGGATTAGACTTAAATGTACAACTTGAAACCATAAAAATCCTAGAAGAACGCATAGGCAGTAAAATCTCAAACATTTTTCATGGCAATGTATTTTTTCTTTTTTTAATTAAATTTATTGGGGTGACACTGGTTAATAAGATTACAAAGGTTTCTATTGTACGTCTCCATGATGCATGATCTCTATATTGCATTGTGTGCCCACTACCCAAATGATACTTTTTCTGATATATCTCCTCAGGCAAGGGAAACAAAAGAAAAAAATGTGAACAAATGGACTATATCAAGCTAAAGTTTTTGTACAGCAAAGGAAACTATCAACAAAATGAAAAGACAACCCACTAAATGGGAGAACATATTTGTCAATGATACATCTAATAAGGGGTTAATACCCAAAATTTATAAAGAACTTATAAAACCCAACACCAAAAAAAAAAAAATCCAATTTAAAAAATGGGCAAAGTACCTAAACAGACGCTTCTCCAGAGAGGGCATACAGATGGCCAATAGACATATGAAAAGATATGCAAAGTCACTAATCATCAGAAAAATGCAAATTAAAACCACAATGAGATATCACCTCACACCTGTCAGAATGGCTATCATCAATAAATCAACAAACAACAAGTATTGGTGAGAATGTAGAGAAAATGAAACCCTTGTGTACTGTTGGAGGGAATGCAGATTGGTACAGCCACTATGGAAAACAGTATGGAGTTTCCTCAAAAAAATTAAAAACAGAACTGCTGAATGACTCCTTGATTCTACTTCTGGTAATGTATCCAAAGAAACCCAAAACACTAATTTGAAAGAATATATGCATCCCTATGTTCACTGCAGCATTATTTACAATAGCCAAGATTTGGAAGTAGGCCCCAGTGTCCATTAGTAGATGAGTGGATAACAAAGCTGTGGTACAGCATGGCCAGGCATGGCTCAGAGGTTGAGCATCGACCTAGAATCCAGGAGATCACGGTTCGATTCCCAGTCAGAGCACACGCCCACATTGTAGGCTCAAACCCCAGTCAGGGGCGTGCAGGAGGAAGCCGATCAATGACTCTCTCATCACTGATGTTTCTATCTCTCTCTCCCTTCCTCTCTCTGAAATCAATAAAGACATATTAAAAAAAAAAAAAAAGCTGTGGCACATTTACACAATGGAATACTACTGGGCCATAAAAAAAGAAGGAAATCTTGCCCTTTACCACAGCATGGATAGAACTGGGAAGCATTATGCTAAGTGAAATAAGCCAGTCAGAGAAAGATAAGTGCCATATAATTTCACTCATGTACAGAATCTAATGAATAAAGTGAACCAGCAAGCAAAACAATGACAGATTGATAGAGAGCAGGCTAATGCTAGGAGAGGGGACTTGGGAAGGAGGGAGTGGGGGGGATTGAGCAAAATATTTTTTAAAGAAGAGAGAAAATACTCATGGACACAAACAACTGTGGTGATTGCTGGGGGACAAGAGGGGTGGAGGAAGGTGGAGGAAGGTGAGGAGAGTGGGGGATTCAGGCTGAACCAACTTTACAGGATTCTTGCCAAAACTGAGCAATACTAAAACAAGTCCAAAGTGAGACACCTAATTGGGAAGAGAATTCAGAGAAGCCTGACTGAAGTTTGATCAAGGAGAGATACTTTATCAGTATATTCATCTATCTATCTAGCTATCTAAAATGATGCAATGTTTCAGATTTATTTCAAAATAACTGGGAGAAGGAAGTAGAGATGAAACAAAATTGATCATGAGTTGATAATTATTTAACCTAAGTGATTAGAACATGAAGGTACATAATACTTTTTCCTATACATATGTTTAACATTTTCTATAACATTTTTTTAAAGAAATGCTAATAAATATAATCACTTGTATGAGATAAACATTAACAAAAATTGCATCCTTTACTCCTCAAACTAAATATATTACTCCTAAAAGTGTCAGATTAATGGTAGCTTACCCATTAAGTATAGGTGCTTTACATTTGTATCTGGACACACTATATGACATTGAGCTTTAACTTGAGTTGTCAGTTCTCCTCCCTAAGCAAAAGCATCAAAGGAAAAAAAAAACACAAAATAGCACAGCTTTCAAGAAGGACAATCAAATCATACTAGTTACTGCAGCACAAAAGAGAGAGGACCTAGTAATTCTCAGAAATGACAAGCTAGAAAATAAATATAAAAAACAGAATGGTTTTGCAATGTTCATCCCTCACAAACGTAAGACATTTTAGCTCTCAACATGATTACAAGAATCTCAACTAAAACACATGGAAACAGAAAGGCTGAAAGTAAAAAAATGGTGCATGCAAACCCTAAACCCAAAGAAAATTTGGAAGCTATACTGATATCCAAGGAGGCTTGAAAGAAAGTATAACTGAAAAATAGAGTCACTTCACAGTAAAAGTAAGGTGGTTCGAGGTTCGATTCCCAGTCAGGGCACATGCCCAGGTTTTGGGCTCGATCCTCGGTGGGGTGTGTGCAGGAGGCAGCCGATCGATGACGCTCTCATCATTGATGTGTGTCTCTCTCTCCCTCTCCCTCTCTCTCAAATCAATAAAGACATATTGAAGAGAAAAAAAGTTAATTGCAGGAAGATGATAAATCTAAGTGTGAAAGACACAAAAAATAAAACTTCTAAAAGAAAATGGGAAAAGACCTTCATGACCTTGAGGTGTGGGAAGTTATCTTAAAACAAAAACACAAGAGGAAAACATTAACTGGATTTCATTAGAATTGATGACATATTCATCAAAAGATGCCAGTAAGAGAGCAAAAGGGTATACAACAAGCGGAAAAATTTGCAATGCATATATTTGACAAAGGACTCATAATCAGAGTGCATAAAGAACTCTTACAAAGTAGGCAAACATACCAAAGCACTTCAAAAGAAGCAATCTAAAAAGCCAATGGCATACAAAAGGCACTTCAACTCATAAGCCATCAGGCAAATGTAAATTAAAATCAAAATTCAACTACTGCACCCACACGATAATAGTCAAAATTTTTAAAACTCATATCAAGTATTGGTGAAGATGTGGAACCAGAACTCTCACACATGACTGGTAGAATGTACATGCTACAACCACTTTGGAACTATTTCTGACAGTACCTGGTAGCACTGAGATTCACATACCCTGTCATCTAAGAATTCCATTCCAAGACATAAATCTGACAGAACTGTGTACATAATGTGCACTAAAACACATGTAAATGAAAATTCACAGCAGCATTATTTTATTAACAGCCAAAATCTGAAAGGAAAAAACCCTAAATATCCATCAACAATATAGAATGAATAAAATAGACAAATTGCAGCATATTTACACAATGGGACACTTCATGGCAGTGAAAATAAATTACCTACTACTATAGTCAACAACACAGATGAATCTCTAAACATAAGTAAATGTCACCAGACCCAAAAATGTGTATATATACACTCATATATATAATTCCATTTAAATAAAGTTAAATACCTGAAAAACTCATCTACAGTGATAGAAATCAAAATAGTAGTTACCTTTGAAACTGGAAGGGGGAATGAGGGAGGATTCTGGTAATGTTTTATTTCTTTTTATTTATTTATTTATTTTTTTAGAGAGAGAGAGAGAGAGGAAGGGAGGGGGAGAGAGAAACAGAAACATCAATGATGAGTCAATCATCGGCTGCCTCCTGCACACTCCCCACTGGGGATCAAGCCCCCAACCCAGGCACGCAACCGACCAGGAACTGAACCATGACCTCTTGGCTCCTGGGTTGATACTCAACCGAGCCACGCCAGCCAGGCTGTTTCATTTCTTCATAGAGAAGTAGTTAGTTATATGAGGTATTCATTGTAGAAATTCATCAATTTCCACACTTAGAATTTGATGATTGTTGTGATGATTAATTTTATGTGTCAAGTTGACCAGGCTAAGAGATGCCCAGATAGCTGGTAAAACATTATTTCTGTGTATGTGTCTGTGAGGGTCTTGCTAGAAGAGATTAGCATTTGAATTGGGAGACTGAAAAAAGAAGATGCTCACACCAATGAAAGTAAGCATCCTCTAATCAGCTAGGGATCTAAATAGAAAAAAAAGGCAAAGGAAAGGTAAAATTGCTCTCTGCTTGAGATGGGACATAACCTATCTCCTTCTGCCCTTGGACAACATCAGCACTCCTGGGCCTGGGGCATTCAGATCAAACTGGGACTTCTCCACTGGTTCCTCCGGTTCTCAGGCCTTTGGGTTTGTACTAGGATTACACCAGCAACATTCCTGGGCCTCCAATTTATCAGATGTCAGGTCATGGGACTTCTCCGCCTCCACAATCATGTGAGCCAATAAATAGCTCATAATAAATCTGTTCCTACCTATCAGTATATATCCTTTCAGTTCTGTTTTTCTAAGAACCCCAATTACAATTGTATACATCTCTGCATTATGTAGTATTTAAATTTTAAAGTTTATCCAAATAGAATTTTGTTTGGGGGTAATGAAAATGTTTGGAACTAGAAAGAAGCAGTAGTTGCTTCACAACATTATGAATGTGCTAAATGCCACTGAACTGCACACTTTAAAAGTGGTTTCATGTTACATGAATCACCTCAATTTAAAAAGTTACCCCAAAATGTAACCTCAGTAAAACAAGCATATACTGATTAGTAAATATTCATGACTACAAATATTAAGAGTTGCAATGCCAAACTTACCAACTACTGTGTCACTATCTAACAAATTGTCATCTTCAGAAGTTTGAAAGTCCATAAAGACACCTGCTCCATCTAAAAGTTCCTCATCGCTACTTGCACTTGTTATACTGTTGTAGCTGTTTCTATAGTAGCCTCTATGGAACAGCTGCTCAGACTCCATTGAGCTGTCCAGTTATCTGAAAAAAAGGGGGAAAAATTGTTTTAAAATCTTCCCAACATATAATAAAAATAATCTAGTTTAACATGACAAAAGGAAACTTCTGATCTCTGTATTGAAAAAAATACTAAGTTCATTCACTATAACAATAGCTAAACATCTATCAAGTGAAGTCTTTTAGAATGATGTAATAATTCTATTCTCACTATGCAGCTATAAAAAAGAATGAAGAATTTCTTCAAGTAGGGGTATCAAATAATCTCCAAGGTCAATTCTTAAGTTAAAGAACAAAGTACAGAGAAATGTTTACAGTATACTACAGTACATGTGGGAGCAGGGTGAATACAGTATATACTTGCTTGTGCATGTACAGACTATCTCTAGAGGGATTTCCAAGAAAGTTGCCCACAGGAGAAAGGAACAAGATGGCTGAAGTAGAAACTGTCCCTTCTGTATATTTTAGCAGAGACAAGCATTAATTTTAAATACTATAATTTAAATTCTTTTAATATTAATTTCATTCTCCTTTCATCATTTTAAAATTTAAATCTTCAGAGCCCATAGTCAAATATCAGTCATGGAAAATATGATAATATGTAACAATTTTCATCTTTTCAAAGCAGATTAATACCAAACAAGCATATGTTTTCATTGTTCTTACTCTCTATACTTTAAAAATAGTATTACTTCTAATTTAATTTTTTTTTTAATTACATCTACCTACTTGCTCAACATCAAATTGGTAGACATTAGCAACAGACTTGGAAGGTTCATGTGTGGGAATTGCAAGGTAGTTATAAAAATTGTGTAACTGTTATTGTTGCAACTACCTAGTTTATATAATAGGAAAAAAGCAAAGGGGAGGCCAGATATTATTAGCATGGTCATCTGGTAATCATTATAAACTACAGCTTCACACTCCTTAGGGAACCACCGGTCCACTCACTGCAGATCCCTGGGGGAAAGGATCAAACAAAGGGGGAGATGAGAGCATGTGCAGTGAAGCTGGAGTGATATAGGGAAGGTACTTTGCTTGTCAGTCTAGCCTGGGAAACAATGGTTGGCGCCAACGCAAGCCTGCAAAATCTCGGAATAGTTAAAATCCCCAGAGAGCCCTGGCCTTGTGGTTCAGTTGGCTGGGTGTCATCCTGTGCACCAAAAGGTTGCTGGTTCTATTCTGTCAGGGCACATGCCCAGGTTGCAGTCCCCAGTACAGGATGTGCAGGAGGCAGCTGATCGATGTTTCCCTCTCACATCAATGTTTCTCTAAACTCTCTCTCTCTCCCTTCCTCTCTCTCAAAAAATCAATTTTTAAAAAAATCCCCATACAAAGAGTTCCCTCTCACTTGCTTGTCCCCTGTTCTCTCTTGCTCCATGGCCAGCGATCGCCTGAGTGCTCGCCTGTTCCCTCTTCACAGTCATGTGGCCTTAAGTAGCTGCATGGTCCATGGTCCATGGCCACGCTGACCCCACACAATGGAATGCAGCTGGGAACACAAGCTGAGCTAGTTAGATGCTGGACTGTATTGGACTTTAATGTGGAGCAGAAATTCTGGGCAATGGCCTTAATCTTGGCCCTGCTGAAGACATGATTGGACTTTTTCCATAGCAGGATAAAAGGAGATAGGACCTTGGAGCAGAACCCCCTTAATTTTACATCAATAAAACTTCCACAGAAGTCTACCCTCCCATGGGGCCTCAGTAAATTATTTTCCCCACAGCACTCCAAGAGCTCCACTTCCACCAATAACAAAACCAGTAAGCCTTATAAAACAACTTACTACATGTCATAATAAGTACACATAGAAAATAAAAGATAAAAGGAACTAAGCATACTCCAATTCTAGTGCTGAATTCTAGTACTGAAGACTTGAAGTGTTTTAAGACAGTCTCTTGTCCTCAATAAATTCTCCTTCTGCACATGGAAAACAACCTCAAAGAGCTATAACAATTAAAAAATATTTGTAAAGCTTTTATACATTTTTTTAGTAAAAATAAAATATTGCTTTTTTTAAACAGATTTATTACATAAATTTCCTAGTTTAGAGAAGGTGAAGTTTTGAGATGCTTTTTATTCTTAGCATCTGGTAGTGACTGGTACATAATATATGGATAATAAATGTCAAATTGTTTATTCAAGCAATGAGGTAAAAAATATAAATGTATTGATTTTTCGATAAACAAATATTCTCTATAACAGTATTAATCTGGTCTTGGGAGAACAACCAAAAACTAGCACATAAATTACAAAGAAAAATTTAAATACGTAATGCTTTACAACTTTATTATTGCTTTATGGTTACCTCTACCAAAGATGACCTATTATTACATACTGAAATTTGTTAGAACATACTAATTAAAGCAAGAGTTTTTATATTTAAGGTAAATGTTAAAATAGAATAGTATAAAAATAGCTGTTCATACTAAGAATGTTGCAGTGTCCATAGAGGCAATCAAATTAAATACTGTGGCTCTTGAGTAAATAACCAAAGGCTTTTTAAAAAAGCATTAATAGTTCAAGAATCATTTTAATATTGATGTACCAAAACATTTAGACTAAGATTTTGCAAAGAACACAAACATTCTATTCTTCACTTCTTTATGGGATAATCAGACCAGAAGGGCTTAATACATATAGCATACACCAAATAAACATTAGTTACAGGCTTTCTGTATACTGGGATCTCAATCAGCAACTTCAAACATAGCTCCTCCATTTTATCCCTAAAAATCCTTCAAGAACCATAAGAATTAACTGGCAACTTAACTCTTTTTTTTTTTAAATATACCTTTATTGATTTCAGAGAGAGAGAGGGAGAGAGAGAGAGAGAGAAACATCAATGATGAGTCATTGATCGGCTGCAGCCCAAAACCCGGGCATGTGCCCTGACCAGGAATCGAACCCTGATCTCCTGGATCCTAGGTCGATGCTCAACTGCTTGCCATGCCCGGCCGGGCTGGCAACTTAACTCTTTCAAAATGTTTTAAAAAGTTAATTTCACTAACAACTCTGAAGCATCTAGAACTCCACACCTTTCTTTATAACAAGAGCAACCAACTCTATTCCAAAAGTTTAAAAAAACTCAGGCCTGCATGGGTTACTATTTCTATAAATTTGATAACTTAAAAAAAAAAAACTAACCTAATTAGATAAGGCTCACTCAGTGTAATCTCTCTACTTAAGGTCAGCTGATTTGGGACTTTAATTACATCTGCAAAAATCACTTCACAGCAGCATTTCATGTTTGAATAACTGGAAAGAGACATCTGTATTCCAGGGGATACAGATCTTGGAGACCATCTTGGAATTCTGCCTTCCACAATATCCTCCAATTGTTAATTTTTTTAAAAAAAACTACTCTTATTAACCAGAAACCTACAGAGCTGTTTAGCAGCCACGAGCCTTGAAACATGGCTAGTCCAAATTGAGATGTGCTCTAAGGTAAAACATCTACTGGATTTCTAAGACTTTATAAGAAAAAAATCAAATACTTCATTAATAATTTTATATTGATTCCATGTTGAAATAATACTTTAGATATATTGGGTTAAATAAAATTATTAAAATTAATTTCATTTCCTTTTTTTTACCTTTTAATGTGGCTCCTAAGAAATTTAAAATTACATATGTGGTTTCCAGTTACAGCACAAATATTTTTATAGAACAGCACTGCTATAAAGGATTCAAAATTCTATGATAGCATGAAGGAAATATAAAGATGAGATATGGGCCCGGCCGGGCGTGGCTCAGCGGTTGAGCGTCGACCTAGGATCCAGGCGATCGGGGTTCGATTCCCGGTCAGGGCACATGCCTGGGTTGCGGGCTTGATCAATGACTCTCTCATCATTTGATGTTTCTATCTGTCTTTCCCTCTCTCTTCCTTTCTCTGAAATCAATAACGATATATTTAAAAAAAAAAAAAAAAAAGATGCGATATGGATACCAGTGTTATAGGTTCTAAACTCGATTCCCAGGCTTGCCCACAAGCTGCTATTTAAATCATAATACAGTAACTGAAATTCTGCATATAAAAAAAGATAAAAACGATATTATAGTCCCCTTTCCTTTTTGAACTGTCAGAGATATATTCAAAACATTATGATAGACACACACAGCTTGCAAATATATTTCTGCAGATTTACGAAGATTATAGCAATAACCAATGAAAATCTTCAGAGATAAAGCCTGGTTTACTACTAAGTTCCTAAATGATCTACATAAAATCACCTTGACCTCTTCTAATCTCTTCTAATCTGATCTCCATGTGGCAGCCGGCAAGGTCTTTTCTAAAAGCAAGTCGGACAGTAATCTCTCCCCACTCCATGAATTAGATTAGTCGTAATCGTTCTCACCACCCTTAGCAGACGAACTCAAACATAGCAGACAGAGCCCTATGTAGTCTGGCCTCTGCCTAGTTCTCCAGCTTCATTTTTTAGTGTATACTTCTTATAAGTGCTCTTGACTCACTAATCTTCTTCCTCTCAGTCCTACCAGGCTCTTTCCTGTCTCCAGCCTCAGTGCCTTTATTGCTCCTTCTGCTAGGAACATGCACTTCTCCTTAAGTCCTGAAAATTGGATAGGTTGATTTCTCATACTTTATTCTTATTTTTCAAAACTGTATTAGCTATTCTAGTTCCTTTGCCTTTCTATATAAATTTTAGAATAATATTGTCCATAGCTACAAAATCTTTCTGAGTCAATTAAATATTTATAGTATGAATTGAATAACAAATGTGTAACAAGTGAATGGCTCATCTCTACTTAGATGTATGAGAACTCAAATTCAACAAGACCCAAACTGAATAAATAATTTGCCCCAAACGTGCCTGTCCTTCTACTTTCCCTATATGAGTTTACAGGATCACCATGTACCTAGTAGCCAGAGTTAGTTTTCAGAGTCTTTTTATTTTCAAAGAATAGTTTATTGATTTTTAGAGAGGGGGGAGAAGAGAGAAACATCAATGTAAGAGCACAACATCAATCAGCTGCCTCCTCAGGTTCCTTACTGGGGATAGAGCCTGAAATCCAGGCCTGTGCCCTGACCGGGAACTGAACTAGCAGCTTTTGGTGCACAGGATGATGCCCAACTAACTGAGCCACATTGGCCAGGGCTCAGAGTCATTTTTTAATTCATTAGCAACCATTTATTCAGCAGCTAGCATATACCAGGCACAAAGCCAGGTGCTGGGGTAATAAGATATGGTCCCTATTCCCAAGGCAGTGCAGGTGAAAGACATACAAATAACCACAGTATGGTACTATCGTACCACAGGAGAGGTATATACAAGGCATTTAATACTGAAAAGGAACAAGCATGCTGCCTGGGAAAATCTGTGAACACTTAGTAAGAGAGGCAAGGTTTCCACTGAGTATTGAATGATTAGGATGAGTTAACTAGGCTAAGTATGTAAGATGAAAAGTCAATACAGGCGCACACACACACAAAAAGTGCAAAAAACACAGCAGCATAGTAACAAAATCTGCTCGGGTAGCTTGTAGAAGTGAAGAGAAAGGGCACTAAAGAGCTGGAGAGGTGAGCACAGGCCAGATCAAGAAGGAAGGGGCTCGTGTCACGCTAAGGAACTTACTCATTCACACACGCGGGAAATAAAGGGAAAAAAAGAATTTTAAAAGAGAAACCACATGATCAGATACAAATTTTAGCACACCAATGCTAGCGGCAGTGTGGAAGGCAGATTAGAAGGGCAAGAGGCTGAAGGACTAAAGATAGGGAGAAAAGTTAGGTGGCCCTTATTCTAGCAGACCTTTGCGCAAGTCTAAATATAAGATAGTGAGGGCATACTGAAATAAGGCATAGCAATATGGAGGAGCAGAAAGAGTTTTGAGGAATATTTAAGAGGATGTGGTAATTAATAAAATGTGGGGGATGGTGAAGAAGAAATTTAAGGTATCTGCTAACTCTCTGACTTGACTTACTCAAAACAGTTGAAAGAAACAAGATTTTGTCTCCTGCCGCTTGCAGGACTCAAGGCCAGAGCGTTCTTTCCAACTGTAGGATTATACATGCTCTTCAAGGCCAGACTACAATGAAGGGAATGTAGCCTAGCCCCCAAACTGCAAACACGAAGCAGTACACCACAAGGGGGGCGGGGAGCAGAAACAGGAAGACCCTACAAACCAGTGGCTAGAGAGCCCGAGGTGGTACACTAATTTTTCAGAGCTTCCAACAACGTTTCACCTCGCTCATAAAGAAGACCGGCTAGGGCTGAAGACCACAGCTGGGTGTCAAAGGTGTGTCAGTTGGCTATCTAGCTGGCTAGTAAGCTGACAAAAGTATGCACAATCTGAGTGAACAAAATGAAAATCCACCACCCCCACTCCAAAAAAAGAAATGAAAATCCCAAATGTTAGCAACTAAAGAGATGGATAAAAGTCTCAAGAGCAATGATGGCAGGGAAGTGAAACTGATTGATCTAGCCATTTGTATGTAAGAAGCATTTTCATATAAGTATTTTAAGAACTGTATGTGCTAAGTACAGGTCAAATATTAAAATGTAACAGTAAATTTAAAGAATAATTTATTCAGTCTCTAATGTTTATAGAACAGCTACTAATGTACAAGAAATTGTGCACAATATAAACACAATTTTTATTGATTAATGGCATCATATTTGTATAGGGCTTACACCTTTCAGTAACTTTCACAATAAATTACTTTATACACTCTCCTCAAAATGGATGTTGTAATCTTTCCCTATAAATTACTATATATCCACATAATAGAAAGCAATACAGGACAGATGTCACAGAAGACAGAACTGTTACAAGAGGTCAGAGAAAAGACCACTGTACTTGACAATAAGAGAAGGCTTCTTTGGAAGAGACACAAGTAAGTTGGACCTTAAAAGGTAAGTGGGATTTTATGGGGCAGAGATGGGAGAAGAGGTTAACTGAAGCAAAAGTACTGGCATGAATCAAGCTATGGAGCCAAAAAGGCAGCAAATATATCTGGAGATGAGTGAGTATGTGCACAGAACACACAAGTCCAGTAAAAGGTTCATAGTCAAATACGCATGGGTAATAAAGCATATCCTGAGTAAGGTTCTTGAAAAAACCTGCAGTAGAAATTAACTTCATAAACAAAATTTATGCAAAGCTTCTCAAATTTATTTTACCAAGGAATGACCCCTCCATCTCATATAACATCACAAAACTCAGGTTGTAACATTACTGTAGCAAGAATTTATTCTGATACAAATTATCAACCCATACAACATATGACAAGAAACTGAGTTATCCCAAAAGTAATACTACTTGATATTTTATCCTTACTGTTAATTAAGTTAGCTGGATGTCCAAATTGCTATGCCTTATGTATTTTTCTTCAAAAAAATATGCAATGGAAAATCTGCTAAAGGAAATAGCTATCTACTCTGAAGAAAACTTCCTAGATTCATAAAAATTTTAGTGCCACCCAAAAGTTAAATGCTAGAGATTTTAAAAGGAAAAACACATACAAATATTAGGCTGAGGCTATAACAAGGAAGAGAGGTAAACAAAAATCAAACAAAACATGCTGTGGAAGGCTTACACTTTGAAAACCAAATAATTTTCATGACTTTTCAAGGCAAACTGTTCAACTGCTTTCTATAAGGTCAAGAAATACATTTATTTAACTAGGTTCAAGTCAAAGTCGCCAATTAAATCTCTCCATATTTCAGCAATGCAAATGGGCAGTTTCCCCACATGGGCTCACCCTCCATTTTATACTTAACTAAGGGACATTTATCTTTAAGAATCAAAATGAATCACAGCTACAATGTTTATATACACATGTGACTGTGCATATGAAAAAATGCCAAAGCAGGGTTTATTATAGTAGAATGAGAGTTTTAAAGAAATCTTTTTTCCCAGAGTTTCTGTAATTTGACATTACTTTTAGAATTGAAAAATAAATGAAACTATCTTGCCATCTCTCTCATGCTATCTTTTCTTCTAGCATTTTAATCAGTCTTACCTGCAATATAGTGCAGCCATTGAGAGCAAGAGCTTTAAATCATACTGCCAGGCTTCAGTCTCAGTTCTGACACTTACTGAGACCTTGGGGAAATTAATTAAATCCTCTATGCCTCAGTTTCCACACCTGTATAATGGGAACACTGGAAAGTACCTACTTCATGGAGTTGGTGTAAGAACTGAGATAATCCACAAAAACCACTTAGGAAAGATCCTGAATCACAGAATTCTCTCAATAGATATTAACACTTTTTATGTCATACATTTTAGGTCACCGCTGACAAGTTTGACTAGAAACTTAGTAAAAGTTCTACAAAGCAATCATAGTGGCCAAAACCCACAGAATACTGCTTTGATATCTGACCTACCATAGAGATGAAATCTGGCTTCCTGAGCAGTCTGAAAATTATTACCAACATGTCACAACAGAAAATGGAAAGCCTATCGCCAACATGACCTGGAAAATAGCCAATTTACTAACAAAATCATAACCTCAGCATAACCTGTTTCCTTGAACTATATATATCCAAAACCTGGTTAAATATTTACATTCCTAAAGAGGAACATATGATTGAAAACACGTGCTACAACAGTTTCCAAGTAACAATGTACATACTAAACATTCATCTTGACTTCTTAAAATCACTTGACCCATTTTTCAAGTAAAGAATCAAAGCCTTTGAGTTATTAGACATGTGGTGACCGCATAAGGTATGTAAATGTATAATCACCACGCTGTACGCCTGAAAGTAATATAATATTGTATGTAAGCTATACCATAAAAAATAAGTCTCTGAAGAGTGTGGAAGATAGAACATGGGATTGGGGTGAAATGTGTCATGTATTCTGCCAACAGTGTCTGTTCCTATTAACCAGAGGTCATAAAAGCATATTCAATCTGAGAAATTCTGTGTAGATCACACCTGATTTTTTTAGCTATTCTATGCACTCAGCAACAGCATCTTTTACGATGAAAATCAACAATATATATTAGTATTTTAACTCCTATATGTACTCTTAAGCTATACAGACAGTATTTTCTAGTTATTCAGAAAGGCACATAAAGTTGACATCAGGTAAGTTACTGTCATACAGACCTCATCAAGAAAAAAATCTTCTAAATTAACACTTTATAGATGAAAACAAAAAGCATTTCTGGGAAGATTCAACAATCAATGGCACAAGCCACAATGATGGTGCAGGAACTGAATTGCATCGAAAGTTTACAGTCTGCAGAACTGAACTTTTGAATTACAAAAAAAAAAAAAAATTGGTATGCTCACTGTTGATTCAATTCTAACAAATACACAAAATGTCCCTGTATATCCCCTTCTACGTGCTCCAGTTTTAAAATACTATACAAATAACGCATATTATATGAAACACTGATTCCTGAGATTCTCGGGAAGCTTTCGGTCCAAGTTTAAGATCAAAACACAAACGTTTTACATATACACATAAACCTAAAGAAAGAAAGAAAAAAAATCAACATTTACTTTAAATTTGGGCAAATTTAGCTAAAGTAAATCCCACTCTCTGAGCTCAAATGTAATCTTTTCCTGGAACCTACTTCCATTCTATTCAAAGGTCCTTCCACGCTTCCCGGACAAAACGGGTGAAAACTGAAAGAACGCTCGAGGGTATACATCTAATCAGGGTGGGTTTAACGTCACGCAGGTGAACCTATTATACTATAAGGTAAACCAAGATGACAGCCCTGGCGTCAAAGCTGACCCCAAAGCCGTGAACAGGACAGCTAACGAATTTTCACTCACAGAAGGCGACTCACCTTGCAGCTCAGAGGCATAGCAGAATCGGTGGCTGTGTTCTGCGCTGCCTTTGGACTCTGCATCTGTTTCAAACCTAAAGCCTAGCTAAAGCTGGGGCCCCGCCGAAGCCGCTCTGACACAAGCAAGAACTACCGCAGCTGGAAAGACACCTGGAGTTTCCTACCGAAGAGGTTACGGAAATTTTGCCAGGTGGGACTTTTGGTCGTCCTTCCAACACGGGAGCAGCATTAAGGGAAATCCGCTTGCTCTGGGCCCTAGGACCAACCTGTTTCTACCCAAAACTAGAAATAAAAACCTCCAACATCACTTCCCTCTTAAGGGATTAAAACGGAATCCATGGTCTAACTCGGGAATGAAGTCGAATGGCTTTCAACCCACCACACCCTCCACCAACACGCAGCCGGATTCGGGCCAGCGCGGGCCAACTTGGACTCCGAAAAGGGAGCCGCAGGTTCCGGAGCAGACGGGCCCCGACCCACGGAAGGGGAAGGGAAGCGGCAAGCATCCGGATCCCGACAGGTGCGTCGGCGCGTGACGTCAGCGCGTAGACGTGAACGGCTGTTCCGCGTCCGGCCGCCCCGACACCTCCTCCTCCGGCCACGGTCGGAGCCGCGTCGGCGCCTATTGGGCAATGCGGCGCAGTGGGCGGGGCGGGGCGCCGGGAGGAGGAGCCTGGTGAGCCGGCGAGCCCCCAGGGTGCGCGTGGGCTGTGAAAGCCTCCCTGGGGTCAGCTCGCGCCGCTCTGGCCTTGCTGTCTGCCCCGCGGGTGACCTCGTCTCAGAAGGCCGCGGACGCGCGCCTGCCCCAGCGTCCTGCGAAGCTCCGTGTCCGCGCCGGCGAGCGAAGACGGTGGAACCCCGGAGCGGCGCGTGAAACGCCCGCGAGCGCGGGTCCCCAAACTGAAAAGCAAAAGCAGCCGTCGGCGAGCGCTCGTAACTACCGCGTAGGCCTGGGTTTAGACCGGCAGGCCCGTGCCGCCCGTGTTTGGAGGTCGCAGCCGGGAATGCATTGGGTCACCTCGCCCGCTGTGTGCCTGACGTACAAGTAAAGAAAACCGATAACCCGAATTTAGCCCAACCGTATTTCCAGAAATAATGCTTGCAAGTTACGTATTTTGGAGGAAATATGTAATATAAAAACCGTTTCACAGTATAAGTTCAACGTATAACAACAATAGGATATTGAAGGGTTTTCATCGTGGGCATGACAGGATCAGTCGCCTAGATTTAAAAATTCTGCTACATCTGGGTCATCTATATTGGTGTATTTTCCCCCTGAATCATGTGAAAGCAGGATGCTGACATTATGATACCTTACCCCTAGGTACTTTCACATGCATCTACCAAGAACGATCTCTTAAGCACAATGAAAATACCATTATCACCTGTGAAACTAAAGGGCCAAGTCCTCTGACCCCAACACGCCTAAAATACAGCGGTGGGACCGGCAGAAGGTAACCGCTGTAGGTATTACAGTTCAAAAAGTAGTAGAAAGATGGAGTCACTGTTCTCAGAGTGCACAGCCACCTGCCACAGGAGATGAAAGAGCCCCTTTCTTCCCCATTACAGCAGGTGGTTT